TGGCATTTTTACGTACCCATTCCCCAAATTCCCCTCGGGAGAAAGGTCGATAATGTCCCGTTGCCCCCAGATGTGTTGGGTGGAGGGTATAGCTAAAAGGCAATTCAATATGGTTACTCTACCAAGAGAGAATTCAGATGAAGAAGACCACAGGAAAGGCTGCTAAAATTGAAAATTAATACTTGCTGGTTGCAAATATGCTTTATGGTAATTCTTTTATAACATATAAAGAGGGCCTAAATTACTTGAAAGACTACCTAACTATACCTGATCTTTCAAAAGCATTGCTTCTAAAATGGGAGCTTTAATTCCAGTATTATGGCTTGTAGATCTTGAACCCAAATACTCTTGGAATATAGCTTGAGATGCCTTTTGTGGCTTCAGGTGCCCGTTCGTCATCAGGAACAGGTTTGGAAACGTGGTCCCAAAATAGGCTCCCTCAATGTCTAGATAGAATTAACGTAATTCATCACATACTCAAAGCAAAACATGCCAAGGCAGAAGTGTTGGAAATATAAAACTTGACCATATGACAATATATCAGGACATTCATGTGATCTATACCATGATGTATTGACTTATAGCCATCTAATATTTACAAAAGATTGGATTTGTTCCAATAGATTCCCTATCCTTATGATTATCATAGTGGGACTTTTTAGTAATATTAACAAAAATGATCTTCAGTTGCTTGGTCCAGTGATCAAGACAATCTTAAAAAAGACATCAAATTGGAATTCGAATCATAACCTTCCCCCTCCTCTTTAATGTAGGGCTCTACCCCTCTTGAATGACTAAAAAAAAATATTAACAAACATGGTTATCCAACTCTAAAGGACAAGTAAAATGCATCTCTCTCTTATAGGGACTTTGCCATTAAACATATCATCGAGCTTTACTACAATATCTCAGATAGCAATTTTGATATCCAAACTGTTTTCTTTTAATAAATTATATAAGTTATATCTAGCTATCATTTTTCTTTTAATAAAAGAATGAACTTAACTCTTTAAGTTTCCTTCCAAATAGCTGGCCAAAAGTTTGTGTTCTCTGGCCACAAACAAGTTATTACTAGGAAGTTTGCAAGATGCTGAGAGAAGAAACTTGGGACCTAATGCAGGAACTATAAGGAAATGTAAACAAATACTACATGAATATCAAAGGAAATGTAAACAAATACTACATGAATATCATAAAAGCATAGAAGTAGAAGTAAGGAACCACTCATTCTTTGCCGTAACAAATCCCATAAGCCACTCACCGTGGTGGGATCTATATCATAGTAATTGAAATTATAATCAGGGCTCTCCTAACAAATCCCAGGGTGTTTCTTTGAGGCCTGTGTCCTGCGCCCCCTCGCATTCTTTGTCCTGCATGGGATAGTCGGTCTGTGGAACTTTTTCTGATGTCCTCCTACGCGCTCTCGTGGATTTTACGAATAAAGGGAATATTCCGAATGTGAATCCATTTCACAGCAATTGAAAAAAAATCAGAGCTGTCCGTCCCCAAAATCCCTGCTCTCTTGAAGCCGACACTTTTATATCTTTACTACCAAACGGAAAAATGAGTGAAGAATCAACGGGCCGATGCCAAAGATTTATTTATGAAAACTTTAGAAACGAATAAGAACAAAATTTTATCTAAAACGAAAAAAAGAATCTGTGTCAGATGGATTGTGACAGCAGATTGAACATATCCGGAATTATAATCACAATATATACTGACGATATATAACATGTTCTATTTTATAGTTTTACTTATCACAAAAGTAATGGAGTTTCCATATTTTGCAGAATCTAACAATAAGATCTGTTACATTAATTATCCTCTTCTTACTCTTGAATAACTATTACACGATCCAGCTCTGAGTTATGTTGATTCTGTCTGAGACCTCCTTCGTTTTCAACATTTTCAATTTCAGTTCGAAGATGTGCTGGGTTTGCTTGATTTTTGGTAATGGTGATGAAAATTGTGGGAACAGAGATTATAGGATGTGAGAAAACCAATGGTGGAAATGTTTAAATAGTTGAAGAAGCTTGCCATGCGATGAAGATGTAAGTATGATGGATATGCAGGCAATCCAAAAATGTGATGGTTTAAGAAGAACTGAGAATAAAAGAAATATAGTCAAGGGAGCAGAGAAAAATCCAAGGTTCAAGCGAATCGGACCGACAATGACAGGCAGTTTGATGGAAGTGACAGGGAAAAGCAGAATGAAAAACATGGCAAGAAATAAGTACGGTACTGAGTCACATGAATATGGAAGAAGATTAGAAGAAACAGAGGATCTATGAATATTATTTGAAATTGAGTATATTTATATTTTTTTATAGATTTTTTTCATTTATTAAAAATAATGAAATTGTATTAAAACACATTAAATTATTTTTTTATGATTAATTGATTGTGTAATTATATTTTTACTGATTTGAATGTATAATTGAATTTGGATTTTAGCTCAAATGGCATAATAAAAAAAAATTTTCAATGAAATTATAATGTTTTACCATAAACAAAAAGAAAATTTGCGTTATATCAATCATATTGTAAACTTTTTAAATATAAATGATAAACATCCAAATATTAATTTGATCAACTATAATCTCTTTAAAATATAAATGATAAAATTAAATATATCTTATCTTATTATTTAAAAATAAATAAATAATATTATTTTATTATTGTTCTTCTTTATATATAATTGGAAAATTTTTTGAGTCACGTATATTTGTATTTTGCTGTATAAAAAATTGGTGAAATTTAAATTTTGACCCCTTCTTTTAACTTTTTATTAATTTTAATGGGATAGAAAAATTACAAAAAATTTCCTTGAAAATATATTATATATCTATAGTTTTTCAAAGTTGAATGAGGTCAAAAAAACCCTACTCAGTTGCACTTGGCTACGCCTTGTAATGATATGAACTAAACCTATCCATTCTGTTTTCTTTTGACTTTTCTCATCCATCCATAGATTGAATTTATAACTTTAATTCATAATACCTTTTTAATACCAGAAAATAGTAGTTATTAGGATCCCTCTTTGATTCAAATTAAGAAACGAAAACAATAATTTCTCACCAAAAAAAAAAAGTGTTGTCAGACTAATTGAGAGATCAGATTGACTGTACCTTTATTAATGATCAATTGATCACTAAACATATTGATGATATAAAAAAATTTTAAATAAAAAAACAAGAATTTCCCCTTTTTTTTTTTACAGAATCTGATATACAAATATATATATATATATATATTTATTTACAGAATTGTGCAATCAAAAGGCTTTGTCATCAATAACTATTACACAATCCAGTTGCGAGTTTTGCCGGTTCTGTCTGACACCTCCCTCCATTTCAATATTTTCAACTTTAGTCGGAATTAGATGAGATGGGTCTGGGTTTGCTTGATTTTGGGTGATGGTGATGAAAATTGTAGGAACAGATTGTAGGGCGTGAGAAAACCAACGGAGAAGCTCGCCACGCCATGAAGATGTAAGTATAATGGATATATAGGGAATCCAAAAATGTGATGGTTTAAGAATAACCAACAATAAAAGCAATACAGTCAAGGGAGCAGAGTAAAATTTCAAGCAAATCGGACCAACACTGAAAGGCAGTTTGATGGGGGTGAAAAGGAAAAACAGAATGAAAACCATGGCAAGAAACAGGAGTGCCATCTTTAAAAGGGATGTTCCTGATCAATCTCCAAGGCAGCGGCAATGTTCCACGACCCGTCTGGAGATTTTAGGAAAAGAAACAGTAAGAGATTGAAAAGGAAGGGAATGGTGTACCTTAAATCCATGGATGATGAAAGCCACTGCTGATTACTTAAATTCAAGGAAGATTGGGAAGAGAGTTGATGGTTGCCCCGAACCGAATACATGTCCGACTTGAATATTTAATTATAACTCAAAGCCTATTAAAATCGGGGAAGATGAGTGACTTAATTATATTTATAGTATGCATTGGGATGGAGGTGTGGGGCCACGACCAAGATTCTATTAGTATTTGAAATAGGTTGATTGGACGTTAAGTTTGGTTATGGTTATGGTTTAGTATTTATATATTCTCATTTCACAACAAAATTTTACCATGTAGGAGAGAACTTTGGTCCATAGTTAAAAATCCTAATTACTTACAAGGATTAATCTAATTGATAAAAAGATGAGTCTTCTTTTTGTCAACCAAGATTTAATATTTGTGAAAAGTATTTTAAAAACAAAATCCTAATTAAAAGCAAACAAACTTTAAGAACACTCTCACCATGTTATAAAAAGGAAATCCGAATTATTTTTTGTTTATCTTAAAAAAATGCGAGATGAAATTTTATAAGAGAAGGAATACAAAACCAATACCTTTAGAAAAGTAATTCAACAGCTTTTGCACTTTTGGACTTAAATGCTTTTACACCGAGCCTCCACTCTTTTTGTGTGTACACGAAGGCAATAGCAAGTATTGGTGGCATAATGGACTAGTTGCATATAAGCACAAAGCCAAGCTCATTACAAGATATTGACTTTGGGGAATGTTGGTACCTTATTCAAGAATAAATAGAACAAAGATACATTGGCTTAGCTTTTCATTTCTTGGTCTTTCATTTACCAACCAAGAACATGTGTTCTTAGGACAGCAATTTCTACGTATATACATGCTTTTTAATTGTGTCCTTTGGAGCAAAACAAAAGCGCTAACAAATCCGATCAGTTAGTGACAAGCGAGGACCAATAATCAAACGTAGAGAAATAGTGGCCTTTTTGTTCGAAAGAAGCCTTTACAAGCCCAATGTGGCATGTCCCATTTTAAAACCCATTTACGAGGCAGATCCTCAGACTTGACTGTAAAAATTTGAAGGCCCAACAGAAACTGAAAAAGACTAATTGGATTGTGCTAGAGCTCAATACTCCATTCCCCAAGCTTATTGGTTGGGAACTTTGAATTATTGTTCTTCTCCACCAACACCACCAACCCATCAACAACTGTAAAAATTAAATTTCCTATTTGTGTCCTCTTTCTCTCACTTGCACGTAGTCAGAAGGAAAAGGGGAGAAGAGATAAGAACATCACCATACATTGGTTTCATTTTTCAGTCTCCATAACTTTTTCTCAATAGCTAAGTAAAACAGAAGATGGTAGAGGAAAATCATAAGTAATATACGGGCAAGAATCTTTGATGTTATAGAAATGTAAGAACCAGAAAGGAGAGCAAGTTGATACAAAACGAAACATTCAGTGAGAATATATATGGGACAACCGATCAACTAAGTGAATGCTAAAAAGTGATATAACAGATTATAATATACCGTGAGTACATGGTAATACAGAGCAAACACTGATCAAATAATCAATAAAGGTACAATGGAGGGTATAGCTAAAAGGCAATTTAATATAGTAAATCTACCAAGAAAGAATTCAGATGAAGAAACCCACAGGAAAGGCAACTAAAATTGAAAATTAATACTTGCTGGTTGCAAATATGCTTTATGGTAATTCTTTTAGAACATATAAAGGGGGCCTAAATTACTTGAAAGACTACCGAACTATACCTGATCTTTCAATAGCATTACTTCCAAAATAGAAGAAGCTAGGCAATACAAACTCATGAGAACCATTGCCCAAACGGGAGCTTTAATTCCAGTATTATGGCTTGTGAACCTTGAACCCAAATACTCTTGGAACATAGCTTTGAGATGCCTTTTGTGGCTTCAGGTGCCCGTATGTCATCAGGAACAGGTTTGGAAATGTAGTCCCAAAATAGGCTCCGTCAATGTCTAGATAGAATTAAGGTAACTCATCATATACTCAAAGCAAAACATGCGAAGGCAAAAGTGTTGGAAATATAAAAATTGACCATATGACAATATATCAGCAAATTCATGCGATCTATACCATGATGTATTGGCTGATAGAAACCTAATATTTGCTAAAGACTGAATTTGTTCCAATAGATTCCCTATCCTTATGATTATCATATTGGGTCATTTCAATAATATTAACAAAATGGTTCTCCAACTCAAAGAAACAAGTAAAGTTCAAGTCTTTTTTTTTTTTGGGAGAAAATAACCTACACTGGGATGGACCCCCCCTCCCTCTCTTATAGGGACTTTGACATCAAACATATAATTAAGCTTTGCTGCAACATCTCAAACAGAAATTTTGATATCCAAACTTTTTTCTTTTAATAAATTATATAAGTTCTAGTTATCAATTTTCTTTTAATAACAGAATGAACTGAACTCTTTAAGTATCCTTCCAAATAGCTGGCCAAAAGTTTGTGTTCTCTGGCCACAAAACAAGTTATTACTAAGAAGTTCGCAAGATACTGAGAGAAGAAACTTGAGACCCCAATGCAGGAACTATAAGGAAATGTTAAAAAAAAAATACATGAATATCGTAAAAGCATAGAAGTGGCAGAAACGAAAGTCTATTCATGACAAGAATGTTATATCCCAATGCAATGCATGCAACAAGAAGTAGCTAGCAAGATCAATAGCCAAAAGGATACTGCCTTGATACTTGAACCGAGGGTAGTAGATATCTTCACATCTAGGGCAGTATATTTTTACAGTGCTTGACCGAGGGACATCTGATTGGCCAACTGGAAGACAAGGTTGTCCACAACAGTAAACTCTTGGGCATCTTCCAAAATCATAGTTCTTGTACTTGTCTAGCTGTAAAAGTTATAAAATATTGTTTTAATCTGTTGCCCAATTTACATATATATGAAAACATGAAAGTATCACAATGAATATCATCGCGAACATCTCACCATAGCAGCCATTCCTTTGCTCGTCAATATGTATCGGGCATGAATCAGACCATAAAGCATCTCTGCCGCAGATTCAATTAGTTCATTTTGCTCCTCTGTAAACATATCTCCTATCAATTTCAGCCCAGCAAGAATTACACATCGCAAGAAAATAAAAAATAGACACTGGGCATGTTGCTAGATGACAAATAATATGTTCCACTTAAATTACAGTGTTATCAAGAACAGAAAAGTTAAAAATTTTGCCATCCTCAGGATCTAAATGCAGAGAGATTAGAATAGAACCACATCATAAAACTATCTGCTTCAAAGAACATAGACAAGACTAATGTTAACAGTAACACTCTGAGTCTAATAACTAATAACAGAATGGCAGAGAAAGACTTCAACAACAACAATAAGAAACAAAATTTCACACATCCTAAACAACTTGACAAGAGAAGAAACAAACTGTATGATTACCGTGGGAAGATTCAACATCCAAAATCAAATCAAGTGCATAATCATAATAAGGAACTTGGCTGCTTAGCCCACAAAGGTTAAAATCATCTTGAATGTAGTCATCATCAACTTCACAAAAGAATTCATTGCCACGTAAGTTGCAAAACCATGAGATCCAAGACGTGTCATCCCCATCAGAACCACTAACATCTGATTCTTCACTGTCTGTTTCAGATTCATCTGCAGTCAATGCAATCAAAATTAGCATCACCATGGGAAAGCATGTTATCAAACACCAATGGTAACAACCATCACTTTGAAATCAGGGTTCATAAAAAGAAGCTAGATAGTGCAATTAAAAATGCAAAGGAAATGGCAAAAACAGTATTTATTTGAACAAATACACAGGATGCACAATCATGAACAAATAAAAGTAAAATCTTTCAAAACTAAATATGTGGATGTTTATAAAGCATATACATATTCAATTTAATTTTGGAAACTGAACGCCCTCCGAAAGGGAGAAAAAGAGAAAAAGCTAAACCCAACTTAGTTTCAATGCCGACAACTCATTTAAGCTAAAAACACAGATATTGAGCAAAGCTTATTCATATAAATACAGGGTTTGGCCAATATCAATATAATCTCATTACACCAAAAAAACACCGTGACAATATAAATTATGAACGTTGGTGCAATAAAGCATGTCTCTTTTACCATTTTAGAGACAGAAGCCATTGAGCTTTCTTATCGTTTCTCACTCTCTCAAAAGTAGGCATCAAAATATTAGCATTACTAATTTGTTTTAGAACAACATTAACATTAATAACAATAAAAATTCACAATTTCATTATATCCAAATTCAATTACATAAATTCAAAACCTTGTAGCAAACCTAATTCCATTAGAATCAAATATACTCAAATAATGAAAAAAAAAGTAAAATTTTAAATTTGTCAGGCCTAAACCTAGATATAAAATTAAATAACGACAATAAAAAAAAAAAAAAACTCAATTAAGAAATCCAAAATTCTAATTTAATTATTGAAAGAGGGAGATGCGGTGATGTTTATACCTTCGGAGGCGTTGGCTTTGGGTAGAGAACCGGGGCGAGAGTCGCGATGATGATCAGGTGGATGCTTTCCTATGAGAAGGGAGTGTGCAGACTTATCCTTGCCGTTGGTCGCTCTCGAAGTGGACGGCGACGATCGTTCCAGTTGCTTATCAAGCGCCTCGTTGATCCGCTTCCGATCCACAGACCCCACCACTCCCTTAGACCCAGCGGCCGCTCTCTCTCCTCTGTACATCTTCTCTTTATCTCTTCTCCTCCTCTCTTCTTATTTGCCGATGATATTAATAGATTCAGTTATCGCCGATTCATAGCGTGAAATGACGCAAATAACCCTAGGTCCCCCAAAATCTAGGGTTTTTTTTTTCTGCTTTTATTTTTTCTATTTCAGAGAGAGATGGAGCTAAGCGCTTAGTCGCTTACGCTATAACCCATTTTTATTTTTAATAGATTTTATTGGGTTTTCACTTTATTTTGCCGGATGGAGAAGGAAACAGGATAGAGAAAGTAAGGTGGAGGGGAAAGGAATTTTTAGAGAGAGAAAATCCTAAAATCGGTAGAGAACTTTTTGGTCCCGGCGAAATGGCCGATATATCGACGGGAAATAGCGTTTGTGTGCTTTTAAAAGGGTGGGAGCATGTATTGCGTGTGGTTGCTTGTACATTCTTTAAGTGTGTGATTTCACGTGGCGTATGATTAGCTTGTCGCACGTTAAAGAATTTTTTTCCCCAAACTTTTTTTTAGATAAAAAACAAAGGGTTTGAGAATTTAGATAAATAATGAAATTTCATATGTAATCTGCGGTTGAGAGCAACAGCCAATGTAATAATCCAATGATAGATAGATATTTGCTATTATTAGTAATATAAAATAATGATAGATAAATTGGAGTTCAAATATTTAAAACTATTTTTTTATTAAGATATGGAGTATTATTATATTTAAAAAAATTAAAAATTTCAATGTTTTACCATTTTACTCAAATTTATGAAATTAAAATACCAAACTATCAATTATGCAAATAAGAAAGAAAAAAAAAACCACAATTATTTTTAGTATCACCAAACATTTGTCACGTGCCAAACATGTATAGCTGTCTTTCACCACTAACTTTATTTAGTAATCTCAGAAATATATATATATATATATATATATTATTTATTTTGTCTTGGAACATCTGGGTCTTGGGACATCAAGTTAGAATACAAGAGTAGGACAGTTGGAACTTTGGTAGGTGATTTTGTTTAAATTCAAAGTTGTTTCTGTTTTCAACCGATGTTTCCAAAGATATAATGATTCATAGATACTGGTTTCTAGGGAATAAACATTAATGCTCCATTATTTCATGGTGAAGCATTGTTGCATAAGTCAAAGCTTTGAATTTTTATTTTATTTTTTTTTTTGTTTATTGGAAGCATTGGTTCTCTCAAAAGTTATTTGAGGTAAGAATATAAATGATATATTAATATTTATAAATTATTTAAAATTAATTTGAATAAAATTTAAATTTGATTTAAATTATTATTTGATCGAGTTTAAGTTTGAATAATTTGATTTATCAATCGAATTAAGTTCAAATAATTTTATACTCAGTTTGAGTAGTTCATAAATTTAATTAAATTTTTATATTTAAATATATTTTTATTATTTTAATTAATAAAATATTTTAAGCTCAAACTCGAGTACAAATAATCGAATTTTTATTAAATATAAAAATTAAATTTATTTTTATATATTAATCGAACTTAATCAAACGAGTTTGAATAATTTAATTTTTATCTTGAATCAAATTCAAACTAAAATATTAAAATTAAATCAATTTTAAATTAAATTTTAAATCTTAAATTTTGAATCAAATTTAAATTTAATACTTTATCGATTTAAACTCAATCTATTATACCTTTAGTTTGGGATACTGGCTTGTTTATTTTCAAAAACAAATAGCATGGTGTTGGCATTATTAGCCAAATTCTCTTCATTAAACAAAGAGAGCCTATTCATATCTATTTGAACTGTCAAATCCAAAGACCGTTTGATCCTTTCTGTTTCCACCTTTTAAGAATGAAGATGATTCCAAAGAGGAGGTGCTTAGACTTGGACATTGTTTTGACCCATTGACCAACACTAAGTATCTCCCCCATGGTAAACTAACAAGTATAATAAAGATAGCAAAGATTAAATTCAAAACTTAAATTTGGTTACATATAATTATTTTTAATAAAAAATAATATTTAATAAATTTAAAATTCAAATTTTAATACCGAAAATCTCAATTTCAAATTCTACCATGTGAGGTGGTGTTAAAGATAATTTGTCTTGTATATTCATGGAAATACAAGACATCATCTTCTCTAAGATGAGCTTGTATATATCGCAAGTGCATTCAAGCCAAAACCATGAAAGTTTGGCACATATTAGCATATTGCATCAACTATATGCAACCTCTCCAGGATTCTGATTCATTAGTATGCCAACTTGTTAGAAATTGAGTGCAGCGTCAAGATCAGCATATTGAAGATCTTTTCTAGGTTCAAGAGGATTAGAGGCAAGTCATGTTTTGAGACTTGACAAACGACAATAACATGCTGCTCACCACATAATGGAGTGTTAGGATGCATCGTCACAAAAGTTTGGTTTGCGTAGCAATATTATCTTGTAATAAGTAAACCAAAACTCTGTTTATTTTCCTTGACTTTCTTCTGCAAAATGAATTAGTCCACCATATAGAGCATTGCTCTTGCTCACAAATTTGTCATTATTCTAGTACTAGATATTTCAACTGTTTAGTGCAAGCAACCAAGCAGAAGAATGAAACAGAGTTGAGGAATGCTTAGTCTCACAGCTGTGCACAATTTTTGTCTAAGGGGCATATGTAATTCATTTGGCTACACGATTGCAGGAACCTTAAACAATTGTAGTTCAAGATTTTACTATTAACATAAGCTCTAATACTGGTCTAATTGAAGAATGGCTACCAACTTGAACATGTGATTCCATAGCATTTATACGAAAAGAAGTTAGGTGCATAATTACAAAGGAAACCACTAATCACTGCTATACCGAAGAGATATCTGCAAATGTTTGGCAATGACCAGATGCAACTCACCATTCTTAGTCTTCAGCAAAATACTTCTCCTCGGCATCATAGTTAGCTTCCCTAAGCCAGTGATCATCCAAGGTCTCATCATCATCTATTTTGGAGTAATCCAAATGCTCATAATCTTCCCCAGAGAGAAACTTCTGCTGCATGATGTAGGTGAATTGATCCATCCTATCTTGCATTTCTTCTGCTGAAGGTGCTTCTTCATGTTGTTCGACAGTTGCAGAAGCAGCAACATTGCCATCGCCAGGATGGTCCAAAAGCATCTGAAAGAGACAATGCAAAATATCAATATATGAAAAACAACTCATAAGCAAAGACAATAATCCAGACATCATTCAGAAACACTAACACATTATAATTAATAGGAATGACATAACCCCTCTTTAATTACTTCTACTATTTTTATCAGAACTGGTAATAAGTTCAAAAGACACTTGTTTCCAATAGCAAAATGATCACTTTCACAAGATATTGCTTCTCCCTAAGAATCCAAAGTTAGTAACTCGTTTGAAAATTGCAGATGCAACACATACAAGAACAAAGCCAAGTACTCACTTCCTTGCCATGGTCGCCTCCATTTTCTTCTTCTTCTTCTTCTTCCTCCTCCTCCTCATCCTCTTCCTCTTCTTCTTCTTGCTGTGGATAGCTCTCATTACCAACCCAGTCTTTTTGAGCCACACCAAGCCTCTGCTGTTCCTCTCTAATCTTAGCAACCAACCTAGCTTCCTCACACCTCCTCATCAAAGTCTCAGACCAGCGTTCCCCAGGCCTAGCCATGCTTCTCCCACTTAAATCCTGAAACCTCCCTAAATATTCATGATGCAAATAGGGTTCTCTTTCCCTCATTGCGTCCTCCGAAAAATACTGCCCATCACATACCAATTTATTCAAGTAAGCCCGCCTTCGATTCTTGACAGTCACCGACCTTGATTTCAATTCTTCAGAAGTTGGACTCAGCTTGCTTCTAAGATGTTTTAAGTGCCAATTAACTTCATAATCATCATTAAGTGCATCGAATTCGTGGAGTTCATCGCTAGTCAGTTCTGACCCATATCTTTCTGCATCACCAACATTAGTTTAGTTAAGAGTTAAAACTTAAAACGATTTTCCTACCCATTTATGAAATAGAGTGAATAATGTTTAAATAAATAAATAAGGGTTACCTAAGAAGACGGGGACGTCGCGGGCAAGGAGGTCGTGGAGGATGGACTTGCGATGGGAGGGATCGGCGGCTGAAGATTGAACGGCTCGCGGGAAATATAGATTGTCGAGAGAAGATAGCCTCTCGGTTATGCTCTCCATCGCTTCTTCCCTCACTTTTCTTTCCATCTCTCTCTTCTTCGGTTCTTCAGCTTAGAAAACCTCCGAAACCCAGACAGAATTCAACCACATCCGACGTCACCACTGAGTTAAGCCCTAAGCCGCAGGTTCGATTGTTTCAGTTACCTATATAGGATTTAACTTTCACCGGCGTCGTGTCGGCTATTTGAGTTGGTTTTTTTCTGTGCTTCACTGGCCTGGCGAAACGACACCGTTTTATTTGGGACTAGCTTTATAAAAGGTTTGATCACGTGCTGCTCACCTGTTTTGACATCTCTCGGGCTTCGGCCCACAGGGAAAAGCCCATTTCTTCAAATACCTTTTTTTTTTTCTTTTCTATAAAACTATATCCATGTGTCAAGAGCTTTTAAAAAACTGAAAAGACTGCGAAATAATTACCAGGGACATTTTTTTCTTCAGCTTGCACATGAAATGGAAAATGTTACATTTACGCCACTAAATATTTAGTTGCCTTACCTAGGTTTTGTTGGAAGCAACGGATGCTAAGACATACTAAGAAATTGCCAAACCCAAAAAAAAAGAATAAGAAAGAACACCAAGGAACCGGAATGTTTGACTACGTGCATGATCCTTAATAAACAACAAGTTCAAATTCCATTTTGCAAATAAAGAAGCAACAACAGTTACTGCTAATTGACAACGGACTAAAACATCCTTTGATCACAAACATATACAGTATTACACAAAGACAAAGTGTTCCAAAAGGTAAAAACCATTGCCTAGCTACCAACCATTTCATTACATATGGAGAATCTATTTCAGCTGAGAGATAACAGGATTCCAAACTTGGCGGACTGGACTCTGAGTGTCAACGTCCTCCTTCAATTGCAACAGTTCCAAGTTGAAGTTAAACAACCTGAGGAGGAATTGGGTCCTGGTTTTCATAATTTTGGGTAATGTAAATGAAAGTGGTGGGAAGGGATTGAAGGGTGCGAGCAAAGTAGCGAAAAAAACATATAAATAGATCAAGTATTTTGCTGTGCCATGGAGATGTGATGATGGTGCATAAAAAGGCAACCCAGAAGAGTGAAGGAGGAAAAAAGATTGAGGCTACAAGTGGCAATGGAGAAACAACGAGCTCGCAAGGTGACGGGATGAGGAGTGATAAGAAATTCAACAGAGAAAAAGAGGAAGAGTAGCATTAAGGAAAAGATGGCAAGCGAGGACGCGAACGTCAATATGGAAAGGGATTGATCAATGATGAAAGCAGCAGAGGAAGGCTTGTTTTGGGATGTTAGAAACAGAAATAAGATTAAATTCAAAAGAGGAGGAAAGGTGTACCTCAAATCAATCACGAGCTGCATTGTTGTTCGTTTCTTCTATATTTTTTTTCTTAGGTTTTTGTTTCCCCAACTGTGTTGGTTTTTATTTATAAGCATGGAAAGGAAGAAAGACACGAAATTTTCTGCGTTTCATAGCACCCCTTTCAATAAATGTATGATAGAAATTTATCTATAGGGATGGAAAAGGAAGAAGACACGAAATTTTCGAAAGTATCCCTGATTCCATTTCAATATTAAAGTATCCCCTGTTCCCTTTCAATATTATATTAGTTTCAAAGTATCCCTTCTTTCCTTTCAATATTAAAGTATCTCTTATTACCTTTCAAATATTATATTAATTTCAAAGTATCCCTTATTTCCTTTCAATATTAAAATATTTCTTATTCCCTTTCAATATAAATTAGTTCCAAAGTATCCCTTATATCCTTTCAATTTTAAAGTATCCCTTATTACCTTTCAATATTATATTAGTTTCAAAGTTCCCTTTCAATATTATATAATAACTATTTTACTTGTAGAAATTTATCTGTACATGAAAAAGCAAGAAGATACGAAATTTTCAAAGTTTCGAAGCACCCTTTCAATATTGTATAATAACTATTTTACCTCTTTATCAGGTAATCCATGTCGGAGATTCCGTTTTTAGTCTCTCTCTAAAAACTAAAAGAGCAAAGCGAATTTTTGCCTTTTGCGGCTTTGGGTCTTGGATTTGAGCAGTTCTTTTTGGTGGGACAATTGGGATTCGCCGGGTTATTGGAAGGTGAGTTGGTTGAAAACCATGCGAGTTGAGTCGGTTGGACAAAAGCCAAAATACTCCATATTTTAGCAGTGATATTGATGGTAGGGTTAGTTTAATTAGAGGCAATCCTACCGGGGATTTAGTAACATGGTTGGCTTCTCAAGGCCAGACGGTATTTCTCAACTTTTCTAGATAACAAGGATCAGACTTCATATGGGTCCAAAATAGAACCATTGGATGAATAATTAACTATTTTTTTTTAATGAATTTGGACCTAGACATGCACTTTAAGAAAGGGACAAATAAAGTTTGGAAATTGAGACAACCAGAAGGCCAAAGCTAAATTCCCAAAATCTTTTAAGATAGTCGAGTTTTGGGCTAGCTAAGAAGTTCAATTACAAGTAAAAGCCATAAATTCGGTGATTTAAGAAGGAAGTTTACCCTACCAATGCAAAATTGGCTAACTATCATTATCATATATACTTGTCGTTGCTTCTATAATCTGCCAGAAAGGAAAACAGCAGAGGTGACCACGCAACTCAATCGGCCCCAAACTGAGTAAAACACAAAGGTAGCCGCCAAAGCGTGTATGATAGTTGGGGTGTGCCTATATGTATCACACTAGCCTATCGAGACCCGTAGGAGGCGAGGCTCAACGTGAATGTTTGTTACTTTGTTAGCCACCAAAATACAATTCAACACAAGCAAACACACAAGGCTCCCTTTCTTCTCTAGAATCTAGCGATGTATGTGGGTTTGACCCAAATCATTAATTAGGTCAACAAGAGAGCAAGTGTACGCGGATACTATGTACACATGGCGCGACAAATTGTGATTAGCATAGTCATAATTCTTCAATTTATTAATATAAACTTATCATATTGAATGTCATGTCTACATTATGTATATTTATTTATTTATTTATTTTAGTACAAACTTGGTTGTAATTTGAAGATGGAAAAAAAGTGGTTAGTACTATAATTTGAACTCTATATTTATTAGATATTATTTTTTAAAAAATAATTATATTAATCAACTAAACTAAATCTTAAATTTATTTAAATATAAATGTATTGAATATAATTATTAAATTATAAATGTAAAAAATACTAAAAGTTTTATTATTATATAAATTTTAATATAATATTTATAATAGTCATTTTTTTTCATTATACTTTCTTTCACTGTATGTTTCATAATTGATTTTAATATTATTTTTATAATAATTAATTTCATCATTATTATTTTTAATTTTATTAAAATTAATTTTACCACTCATTCAAATAAACTCTAAATTTTGAAAAAAAAATTGATAAAATTTAATAAAAATTATATATATTTAATAAAATAAAAAATTATATTTTTGTGTCGACATAAATTATAACATGTAATTTTTATATAAAACACAATTGAATACATGAATTTTAATATTTTACACTATATAAATATATGAATAATTAGGTCTACCAATAAATTTAGGGGTTGCCTTTACAATGCAACAAATATTTCCCTAATAGGCTGATTTAAGCAGCTGTAATGGGGAACTTTATCATGTGTGATGATGACAGCAGGTTCTATATTAAACCTACAGCAATGCTTTAAGGTGTGAGACAAGAAATGCAAGTGTATAAATTAACCCATACTCCTCTTTAATCCTGTATTTCAACTGTATGAATTACAAGTAACGAGAAGTCTCTCAATGGCTAGGATTGCTCAACGTGGTTAGTAATTACATCAGGGCAAGATTGTGTTTGTAGAAGCTCTAACCAGTTGAATGGTGGTGCGAATTGCAATATGTAGTCCTCGTCTGTAGCCAACAACAGAAATCAGAATAACCACAATCATTGTCTAAATATTGGCTCCATTTGATTACCGAGACAAGGATGCATCAAGAGAGAGATAGGAATTGCACTAAATATATAATGAACTGCAAAACTTCCGTGATGCTTGATTTTGCTCAATCATATCAAAAACCAACTGGGGCTCAAGCAAATGTGGAAGGAGAAATGAAAGAATCTTACTCTCTTTGACTGTCCCATAAAGCCAGCACAATACCTCACCAGCAAATGCCGAGCAGAGTCCTCGCTAACAATTGAGTTTTAAACAGGGAAAGAAGGTTACTAACCGCACAATGACATCTGAAAAAGGTGACCGTAAAAAAATGTGTTATTTAGTATAAGGATGCTAAACAAAACAGTTACACCAATAGGTTAGCAATTAACAGAGAAAAGGGGAAAAAAAATCAGTTCAGTGCATGTATATGCCAGTAGTTCTCCATTGTCACCATGTTATCTCTTTGGTTATACCAGTAGGCATACAATTAAAAAAAAAAAAAGAAAGAAGACAATTCAGTACATGCATTTATGGTAAAGATATAATACCTGCCAGTAGTTCTTCATTTTCACTCGGTGGGTAATGTCTTTGGTCCTTACTCTCTCAGTGTGTACAAGTCCGCCTGCATCAAACATGTGAATGGAAAATTTATATTTATTTGCAAAGAGAAAAACCTAACACTAACAGCAGCACAAAACTGAATATAGCATCAGCATTTCCAGAGAAGAGTGTGCATGTGTGTGCATGCGAATTAATCATTAAGGTCAACTTATTTCTGTTCTTCTCCAATATGCCTAAGCTAAACTTGTTTACAGAAGAAAGCGATTTCCTAGTCATACCAGTAAAGAGAGAGTGACTTCTTAAGACAATTGAAGTTATTATGAAATGCCAATATAAGTTACCTAAATCCAATAACAAGATAAGGAACACCTGCCAGGAATGATTGAATCTGTGATGATAAAATGGCCAAGTTATTCTCTCCACAAATAAAGGAAAATTTGAAAAAGAATGCTATTTCTCAATAAACCTTCCAGAAGTGCCCTTTCCCAAGAATTTCTGATGATATGAACTAATGAAATAAGAATACAAAAAATAACACCTATTTTGCATGCCAAACTTCAAAGTAAGAAAATTTCAGGCACAATCAATAGCCATTGAATAAAGAATATACCCAAAACTTAAGTAGTTTCTCTCTTTCATATCTTTCCTCCGTATGATAATCCAACTGCACAGGCAAGGACATCTTCATGAGTTACTGAAGTAAAGTGAAGGTCATAATAAGAAGGCAGCAAGTGAAACATGGAGCAC